GAGTGGCGATCGGGATCTATTCCCAGGAGAGATACAAAATGTCGTATCAACTCTTGATGATCTCCATAATGTGCGTGATTGGCAACCTGGGAGGAAAGAACCAGAAAGAGAAATATTAGTCATGCAAAATATCAAAATGAATATTGAACTTATTAAAATGTCAAAGATAATTTACAAGTCTCTTTCATTTATAATATATTCGTTCGGAGGTGTCCGCTCTTGAAGGGTCGGAAGTAGAGGGGCCCGACTCACTGGAGAAGAGAGCTGGTGTCGAGTGTGAGCTAGTGCGTGTGTGGGAGCTTGTACCTAAGTGGGAGCTAGGCAGAAGGGGCTACAACTGGAGGGGATGGTGGTTAAAAAAGAGTGGTAGGATTGATCAGAGCGACAACAAAATGTATTTGAAGGCCTATAGTGATGGTGGTGCTGCTAATCAACACAAAACTCGTGTTATGTCTGTCAGAGCGAGCCACTAGCCTCTTCAACCTCCCGTAAGTACTCCCTATAGTGCTCTGAGGAAGAGATCACTGGCTTCCAGTATCACCTGATGTCATCTATGACAAAAAAAATATAATCAAAATTAGAACTAACAATAAAAGTAAGCCAAAAAAGTATATTATAAATATCATAAGTAAAAGCATGAGTGTGAAAAATAAAAACAAAGAACATTTCGTAACATGTAAAAATAATAAAATTAAGCAGAAGAAGTATAATATAAGCAATAGAAGTAAAATAAGGAAAGCGCAGAATCAAACAAGAAATATGTCATAACTATGTGTAAAACTGTCAAAATAAAATTATAAAAGAAACTAAATTCTAAACATACATATCATTTTTAATTTTTTTCATTAGATGAGTTAGTTGATGATGAACTTAAAATTGCTTCTTCAATGTCACATTATTGTCATCCATATTTTGAGAAACTTTTTTGTAAGTCCCTGTGGTATCCTCTACGATAAACATTGTTTTTAATATAATCAAGCTGAATAAAAAAATCTAACATAGCTTGCTTTTGGTGAATGAGTTCAATGATAGTTTGCATCTCAATCGTTTTCCTTAGTTTATTCTTCATAACACCAACCTAATTAAAAAAACTTTATTAACTTGACATGCTAGAATAAATGGATCAAATTATATATATATTATGTTTATTTTAACTTCAATTATATCATATGGGCTCAATATTTGTGTTCCTCGATTAGGAACATAATCAAATCACACACGACATAACCAAGATATTACAACTGCACCAATTCTTCAATTATGCCATAATAATTTATCTTATTATTCGAGTGTATGTTTCCTTTAACACAAATACCATAATTATATGTCTTCTTCCTTCACACCAGGAATTCGTGTGAAAACTTTAACCGTTCACAACAAATATTTGTCATGTAGTGATACTACAATTAGGCCTCAAGTAATATCTAATAAGCCTTGATATGTAATTTTTACTTATATTATGAACCTATAAGAAGTTTAAAAGTATATTTAATATTAATTTGAACATAAAAGTTATATTATGTATCGCTGAATAGAAGATTTACTTCAGTTTACGTATAATTTGAACAGTGTCAGAAATTCTTCTTTAATCTTAATGTTGATTATAGAGTCATCTCATATGTTTATATTGTCTGTAAATAACATGCTCATATCATTTTTATTTGTATGTTGAATTTAAATTAATATAATATTCAAAATAATAATTGAAAAAGAAATTATTACTAGAGATTTTACTTTATAAATGGTTGCACATCGTTGCAATTCAGTAAAACATATAATGTAGTTGCTCGAAACTCTTTATCATTGAGGCAGCGTGTATCATGTGTCCCTGATGGTTCTCAAAATATTTGAAATACAAATAATACTGACCATGACGACATTCCCCAAAAGTATAATGTGTTTGATGTCTTTGCTCGACATAGTATGGACATAAAGTAATTATCTTCTGTAATAAGTATTTCTGGAGCCCTCAAGATGTACTTTATTTGTAACAGTTTTTTTATTTTATTTAAAAGTCTGCAAGATAAAGGTATTTTTGAATAAATATGAAATTAGATTAGGCTAAAATAAAATATGTGGCATCCAGAGATATCGAGAAGAGATATCTCTCAAAGGGATACATCCATCTGTGCTGCATTGGACCACCAAGTATAGTCTCATAGCATAGATGTGTGGGTAGATGCTTCATAGAGTCAAAGAAATATGATAAAATATTTGTTCAAGCTTGCATAATAATAATGAAACACTCACATCAAGATTTTTCAATGATTGTTCAACCTTAAATGAATGCACTGATTTCAATTAGTGGATTAAGTATCAGCTTTGCAGAGCACTGAACTAAGTTGATAGTAAGCTCTACAAAAAAAATATGAACTCAGGGGATTCAAACTAAATGAACTATAGTTGGTGTTACACCTGTGGTTATTGTAACCCTTTTCTCGGGTTTGTTATTTTAAGCCAAATACATCACTTGTCGTTATACGACATATAAAAAATTTAAGGACAGAGAAAGTCATCATATTTTGAATATGATGGTCGTAAGCAGTTGTAACCAAGAGTTATCTTCGGGTTTTCAATGCAGAGTTATTCATTACATCATATTTAGGATATTTCATTATAGGGTATTCAAGTTATTTCGTTACACCGTATTTAGGATACTTAATTACACCATATTCAGGATACATCATAAGCAAACAGAGTTCGCCATTGACGATAAGCAAGGGGTAGCCAACGGGGGTCGATGGCCAATGTGTAGTAGAAGATGGTGGTCGGCGGCTACAGAGGTTGAATGTTATCATGAACTCCTAGGTCCAAAACAACACTAGAATTTAACTCCTTTTGTCTTCCTCCCCCTCTATGTGAAGAGAGATGATCAATTTATAACCTCCAGGAGAAGCATTTTGGTCTTTTGGTAAATAACGTTCTCAACCTCCCCATTGGATGGCTCCTATTAACCCCTCTTGATGATAGGTGATTTTTTTATACTTTGAGGACCTTAAATTCACACACCCGCAGCTCTCCAAAAGCCACCTAACAACCTTTTTCCAAACTTGGTCCCCTCTCATTAACAAAATATTGTCCTTTTCAAAGTATTCCTTGCATTTTGTTTACCTTTTTCATCCCCTTTCTTTTTCATATCCATTAAAGATCTACAAGAAAAGCAGGTAGGCTGAGAGGGCACTGAGTCATCAAATTTATTATGCTGACTGTGCAAGATGTAGTTGGAAGTCCAAAATCTTTAAGCGGACAAAGATCGCCCTGATATTAGTAGATCATGTGCAGTTATATGTCAGTTGTCAACTGCTTTTTCATTAAAAAATAAGGAAGATTCACATACATACCACCTAACTTTAATTTCTTACCAATGCATGAAAAGTTGTATTTCATTCTCCAAAAGTTAAGATGGTGATATTTTTTTATGAGATGAAAGTTTTGGGCGGTACAAATATTAAAGCAAAGTTTAGGTTTTAGATATGTAAATACATAGAAATTGGGTGAAATGCATGTAAATGCCCCAAAAAATAAAGAATAAAAAAAAACTCTCTTTTTTTTTGTGGAACAACTGAATTCTCTAAAATATATGCTAGCTTTTTGGGCTTCCATTTTAATTAGTATCATACAAAATCTCAAGCTCAGCTCTTCAGCACAAAATTAATCTTGCTATTATTTCAATGGAATTTGATGACACTTTTTTGATCATCAGAAGGGACAGTCTGAAATAGTGGTTTATGTTATGAAACTTAGGGCGAAACAATCACAAGAATCGACACAAAACCAGAAGAAGAACAAAGAGATTTAACGAGGTTCGGCAAAGATGCCTACATTCTCGGGAGCAGAGCGGCGAATTTCACTATTTCAGAGGGAAAGTTAAGTTACATCCTCAAGGGTTACACATATATATAGACATATAAAAAACCCATAGATAAATTACCAACACGCTCTCCCTCCTCCCAACCTAAAAAATATGAAGAGACGTAGCTCTTCACCAAGACACACACCTCTTCACCAAGAGACACATCTCTTCACTTCAAGAATATTTAGGGCGATGAAAAACACAGAAATTTCATAAGAGTTTATGTTCTGAGATCGCAAACTAACCATGAAAATAAAAAGAATTATATAGCGGCGTACAAGTCATGCTAAAAAGAAGTGCAGCACAAAGAATTTTTAGGAGCTCATTAGCCGTTCTAGCAAACAATAACTTTTAAGTTTGATTATACAGAAATAACCCTCAAAATTTACTCGTCTACAAAACAATCTCTATGTTATCTTAATCATCAACTTCTCCCACAAATATTATATTCACTGCTAAATCCCAACTCGTATTTTTCACTTTCTTAAAATTCTTTAAGATTTATTGTGTCACTTATAAATAGACAACCTTGTTAGTTTATTTTTTTAAAATAGATGAATTTTTTTATGTAAATCTACTCTTCAATAGCATGTGCATAAATCAAAATTAAAAAAATCTAATTTTTGCCTAGTATGCCACAATATTCTCTTAAATCTTTTACTCAAGTAAATCAAGAGTGATTATATTTGAAGAATGGTTGGAGAAATAGTGATTGAAGATAAAATAATTAAAAATAGACTTTAAAGGATTTGGAGCTTGGACATGTATAACGGGAGAAAATATTGTGTCTGGAGTCCGGACGCGAGCTGCGCCTGGACAAAGAACATGATACAGCAAAGGTACGAGCTCTCATTTCACCCCGCTGTATCACATCCGTTGTCCGGACGCTGCTCTGCGTCCAGACTACCGACGTAATATTTTTTCAAAGGTTGAAAATATACCAATAGACAAATGAATAAAACTTTTGTTGAAAATTAGGAAGAAGAAGATTAGATAAACATCAATAGAATTTATCAATAAATTTCAAGCCTCAAGTATGACTCCACGAGATCAAATAGGTACTGATGATTCTTAAAGCCAATCTCAAATAATTGAGATATGTGCAATGATATTGATTATAACAATGAATCAAGGCTACCTCTAACAACAATAGCTCAAACATCATTTATATTCCCAATAAAAACTTTCATGTTACAAGTACACTTTGTATGTATCTTACAAAAAATTACAAAGGTTGAAGACCCTAAATATAAGGCTGCTCCCATAAGACTTCGAGAAGTTTAAATACTTCACAAACAGCAAGTAATTGTTCCTTTACTTCCTTTCTACAGTGAGAGTTTTGTCAATGAAGTTGTTTCTGTATGAAATTGAAAGATCTCTCATAACAAAGAAAACCCATGAACCAAAACTCAAAGTCATCTTCTGTGATGATTTGGATGTACTTTTGGCTTGGCTTGTTTATATTCTCACTTTGGCAGGCTCTCTTGGTTCTACTCAAAGGGATTATGACCTGTACATTACCAAGGTTTCAATCAAAAAGGGTTTAATGATGATAAAGCGCCTAAATTTATGAAATTTAACAACCTTGTAAGGGACTCTGACAGTTTCTCCAGAAGAAGTTAGCTTGATGCATCTGTTGCTGCGGAATGCAATATTTTCTGAAGAAATGAAGAGAAGGCCAGGAATAGGACCGGCTGTGGTTGACAAATAGCATTGGAAGGCATTCAGCAACTTCTCTCCTTCTTTTACAGAGAAATTTTGTCTGAAAATTCTTCCAATTCCTCCAGCTTGAAGAACCCTCATGCCCAAGCTCAACTTCCCCTTCACAGTTTGAGAGACAGTGGATCCCAAACTCACTGTCAGTTCAATTAAACAGTAAAAATTAGTTTCCTTTAAATTAAGTGAACAGAAACTCGGAAATGTGTAAACTTTGCAGCTAAACTCATGGTGGGAAGGAGAATTACCATGGTCACATATTCCTTTAGCATAACTATTTGCGTTGCTCTTAAACTTGTTCACCCAATGCAAAAGTGGAAGCTTTCTATCTGTGAATGAAGAATAATTAAAAGTAAGAAAACTATAAATGATTATAACATGGATTAGGGGAAAAAAATAGATTTTAGTCTCTTACTCTTTTGAAATTGAGAAGAACCATAAGCAGCGGGCATGAGACAGAGACGCTCGGCAGCTTCACATTTCAACTCCCCAGTTGTGAATATGACAGAGCTTACTGGAATTCCAATGGCCTGATCAGCGCTTTGATTCTTCATTCTGAGAAGAACCACGTAGCCTCCTCGACTCTACTCTAGAAAGTTCTTAGAGAGGAGTTTTTTGTTCGGTGTCCCAGCAATGTCAAGTAGGAGCCTTTATATATACCCAATAAGCAACCGCTGACTGGATTTGTTGGATCTGAGTCATCATATGAGAATCAGGGTAAGGAATATGTGTGAAGATAAGCCTATGTAAAAGGTTCCAAGTAGTTTCCATACCTAATATCTTGCTAAAGCTTTAATATTAAGGCTAATTTGCTTCGTAGTAAGTGTTAGAACTCACTTTCAAATTGTAAGGCTTTGTTTGAGAAGAAGTTGCAATAAATGTTGACAAGTGGAAAAAATTTTATTTGGTGGAGCAGTGTCTCCCGAATGTCTCATAAGATTATTTCGCAAGAACAATAATTATTCATCATTTTAGATCGTATTAGATTGTAGCTGACGCCCTTCATTAGGTGGACATGACTTTTATAAGAGCTTTATACGTCAAGTCTGCCGAACAGAGAAGGTCAACAACAATCTAAAATGACCAAAAATTGATGTTCTTGCGAAAATATTTCATGAGAAATTTGAGAGACGTCGTTTCACGAAACTAAAGCTTTTTAAAGCATCAACCTCACTGCAAACGGACGAAGCTTCACCGTCTTCTCGAATGAAGCCTTGGTTTAACTTATCATTAAGTTTAAAGTAAATTGGGAGAAGTGAGTTTCAATTTTAAGAGGAAAGTTGTTTTTAATTTTATTTTAAAAGATTTCTGTCTTGACCAAAGTCTTAAGTTTCAATTCAATCAAAAACATAATCTCTTCTTTAAGCTCCATGTAATTAAAATTTTAAAAACAAATGCTAACAGGACATTTTACAATACAACAAGAAGGAAACATTAACATTACCGTGCAAGTAACGCAAACTTAATACTAAAAGATAGCGTTTAAAATACAATTCAAATATCTTCCATAGCCCTTTTTTAAATTCAAGGATAATGCTAATCTTTCCTGCTTTCTGTAAGCTTATGCCTGGCATGAATTGTTTATGAAGATTTGCATACATACCAGTCAATTCTTGTGTATTTACATAAAAACTCTAATCTTTATATAAATGCCATCTTACATATCCACACTTTTTAAAAGTTAAAAAATGAGTTTTTTTGTTGTGATATGAAAGTGTTGGATATGTAAATGCATAAGAAGTCGGTGATAAGTGTGTAAATAACCCACTTTTTTTTGACAGGTATTGCCTGAAAACTTTATTATATTGTTCTATTGAAAATATCACAAAAGTTTTACCAAAATGTCTGGGTGGAAAGTAGAAGAGATGAGCTCATCAAGCGAGCAAAGTGCCGCCCATGATTAATATAAACAGAGAGTAAGATATTCAATATCGGAGGAGGGGAGGAAGGTGAGGATGGATGGCACAAACTTGGCTTGGTATATCTTCCTCTAAATTTAAATTCAGAATATAAGATACATGTTCCTTTTTAATATTCTGATTTCATTAAAATAAATGACAATGAAATTTTTTAATTCCAGAATGTTTAAAATTTCAATGTATTTATTCATTTTATTAAAATGATTCTTAGAAATGAAAAATAATAATTTCAATTTTTTAATTATTTTTATTAAAATTAAAAACAAAAAAATTTTGAATAACTACATGAAATATATATTTAAACTTGCTATCATAGATTCTAATTATTTAAAATCACTTTTTTTAGAAACAATAAAATTTATTTATTGCTTTACTGAAATAATTCTTAGAATGTATAATTCAAATGTTTAATTATATTCATTAATAATTTTGAACATGTTGAGAATCGAACCTTTTAGAGCCTTAAATGTATATATTAGGCTTTTAAGAACAATTATTTTTTTTTGGTATCAGAGCTAAACCTAGCTATCCGTAAGGGTTGGGATCCGTCTATAGAGACCCAAAGCTCCTATCTATCAGGGCATGAGGAGGAACTAAGACTTGTGACACAGAAGATCGCAAGGTGTTAGATCGTAGCTTTTGGAGACGTGGAAGATCGTGAATGTGCAGTTCAAGATAGCGGTTTCTAGAGACTTGTAAAGTGAAAGATTGGGGCCTGCGGGATCGCGGCTACCAAAGACGCAGAAGATAGCGCACACAAGATCGATATTTGATCCACCGTCGGCTGCTCCATCCAACGAGTTCGGATCCGTGTACAGAGATCTGAAACTCCCATTTTTCTCTTCCTTATGCTTTGTCCTTGGTAAAGGAAAAGATATTTGTATTTCTTGGTGTCTTTATTCCATTGTATAAATGGTGATATTTATACAAGTTTTTTGAGATTTAGAATAGGAAAGAAAATAAATTATGAGCGGAAATTAAGGCTAGACATTAGCATATGAAATCAACATTAATTACTCCATATCAAGACAATTAATGTCATTACATCATATGAGGGAAATTAATGTCATTGACTTATTTTCTAACAGTCCTCATGAAGCAGTTGTGATTTGAGCTAATCGGGAAGGCAACAACGGGATTGCGGTGGGATAACTTGGAAGGCAAAGATGGGATTGCGGCATGACCCGAAGGATACAATCGCAATTATAGCTAACTGGGAAGGCAATGATGTGATTGATGCATAAACATGTGAATGATCAAATTCACATGTGATCTGTGTGATCTAGCTCTAATTGAGGATGTTAAGAGCAAGAAATAGTATGTAGTAGCGAGGTCAACAGTAGTTGAGAGTATAGGGCCATTACCTAGGAGTTGTCGAGATGATGTAGCTAAGGGTCTTGTTGGTCGAGCTCAATGTGGACCAAGGAACTCAAATGAAGTATTAGTGTGACAACAAGTCAACAATTAGCATCGCCAACAACCCGGTGCAACACGATAGAACCAAACATGTGGAGATTGATAGATTATTCTTCAAGGAAATGTTGAATTACAGGCTATTGGAGCTAAGTCATATAGCCACTGGAGAGCAAGCACCTGATTGCCTCACTAATGAACTTAGTTCATTAGATTTGTTTATGTTATGTAACAAGATAGGCTTAGTGGAATTAGACTTTATTTAGGGTCCCGTTAGTAAGAAAGGAATATCGAGAAAGTCGAGGGGTCTATTTAAAACTATGCTATGAATGAACACATTAAATTTTTAAGAGCAATTACTTCTTTCTAACCTTAACTTATTATTATAAGCATGTGTCGGACATCTATAGATTAATGTCATTATTATTCACATATCTCTTATTTTATAGTTACCGGACATATAAAAAAGAGGAGTCATTACATACAGACCATCCGAAACTCGCTACTTACAAATCAACCACCCACTTTCATCCATTTTTTAAATTCTCATTCAAATAACAAAATTCGCGGTAAAACCCAACTCATATTTTTCATTTTTATCAAATTCTCAATAATTTGATCATGACATGCGTAAATGCATCAGCTAGGTAGTTGAAAAAAATCACCCGAGTGGTTAATTTATAAATATTAATGTTTCGGATGATTTGCATGTAATCATCCCTAAAAATAATAATTTTAACACAACTAAATGTTGAAATAAAACCATTCCCATCATGCATCTCAAGCAAAATATACCTGTCAAGCATCATAACACCAATTTAAACAAAATCCACTAACACCGCCTATAACCACTTTAAAAATTCATTATATCCTTCAAGCACTTGATATCAAACATAACTTTTCATCATTACAATAAAGAAATAAACCTAAAAAAAGAGAGGCTACGTATTATCATCTAAAGCAACCACTGAACACAAAAAAAGTTGATGTTATGATGGTCGATAATTAAGCTCCATGCAGTTCATTTATCTGGCTTTTATACCTGTGGAAATAAGAACTCCAAAATAATATCACATTACAAACCATTGAATAAACTTTTAAAGAGAAATAAGAAAATCTTTTGAGCTTACATTTAGACTTATATTTGAAGATACTTATGTCCACAATTACTATATAAATTCACATTGGGATTGGCTCTTCATTAGAAAATCAACATAATATCATAAATTAATCTTAAAAAAAAATCAAAACAAAAGATCCTTATAATTACATAACTCATCATTTTATTCTTGAGAGTAGTTGTCATGATACTTAATGACATTCAAGTTATTATCCAATTTCATAAGCTTCATATTCTTATGTGTTTCTTCATGACAAACGCTGCTATTATGTCCACCCTAATTAATATTTATTACAATAAAGTATGATTGTGGCTCTACTTAATGTTCTTCATTGAGAATTTAGAAGTTGTTTATCAAATGTGCTCGCTAATTTCGTGGCCAACATCCTTTTAATTTATTATATCTTGATGGCAACAGTGGAATCTTAATGTTGTTAACTCCACTCATGCTTCTTAATTGCGAGCTAACTAAATATTGTTGAGAAAACTAGGGCGAAGAAAAACAGTATTCGACACAAATCCAGAAGAACACAGAGATTTAACGAGGTTCGGCAAAGATGCCTACGTCCTCGGGAGCAGAGCGGCGATTCCTTTCAATAATCAGAAATGGGTTTACAGAATAGAGGATACCTCCTGGGGTTACTAACATGCCTATTTATAACCCCAGGAGTAAACCTAGGCACAATACGTAATTACAACATTACCCATGTACCATACCGCGGGGTTTTGCCCCCGCACCCCACCCCACGTAACTTCCCAATTTGGACAGATTCTTCCGCTCCGCTCCGCTCCGCTCAGCTCTGCTCCGCTTCGATCCAGCGTCTATCCCTATATGATATATGAGTCATACCATAACAAATCTTCACCTTAGCGAATATCCAGCCCCTTAGGAGAAAAATACCTAGGAGTTACATATGCACCACTGTGGGTTGGGCCACCATGCTTCTCTAGCAACTGCAAACATTCAACGAGTCCAAGCAATGCAAGAACTTGTTGATACTAACTGGCTTGGTCAACATATCAGCTGCATTCTCATCAGTATGAACCTTCTGCAATAGTATCTCCCCAGAAGCAATCAACTCTCTGATCTTGTGATACCTGACATCAATGTGCTTGGTTCTCGCATGGTACACCTGGTTCTTAGCCAGATAAATAGCACTCTGACTATCACAATGCAACCGAACTCC